GGTTCTGTTGATCTCTCTACCACTGTATAACACGCTAGTGCTATTGGTCTCTCGACCACTGTATATTCTGAGCCTATGAAATTCTTTACAATTCAATAACGACCACAACAAAGAAAACACTCACCTTCTACAACAAGATCGAGCGGCTTGCACTTCAAAGCAAACGAAGAGACGCTTCCACAAATAAGCTCATCAACCAACCACGCGAAAGTGTCTAGATGTACCGCCTCCTGATTGGTTAAAAACTACAATGTAACACGTCTTTTCATTGGCTTGAATAGTTCCTTCCTTGCAATTGGCTTAAACTGAGACATTCTTACATCTTACACCTTACACCTTACACTTACACTTTTCAATATTCCTGAAAGGAAAGCGCACTCCGACATCCGTCAGAAGGAGGTCATCTCGGGTAGATTTCCGATTACGAAATCCGAGCTCGCCCGATGTTGTCTTCGTGATGAAGGCCCTATTTAGCATATTAGACCCGCAAAACAGAGTAGAAACGAACACGTGCTTCGTTTTCGCTCATGACTTCGTATTAGCCTTAAGATATTTGCATTTTTTTCCGTTGGTTACCTATATTACAGACTCCAATAAATTTTTGCGATGCCTCCTTTTCACGGATGGCCGATTACAACTACAACATAGTAACACCTCCACGAAATCTGTCAAAAGGAGGATGTTACAATACCAGAGGTCATCTCGGGTAGATTTCTGATGACGAAATCCGAGCTCGCCCGATGTTTTCATGAAGGCCCTATTTCGCATTTTAGAGCCGCAAAATAGAGTAGAAAGGAACACTTACTTCGTTTTCGCTCATGACTTTGTATTAGCGTTAAGATATTTGCATTTTTTCCGTTGCTAACCTATATGACAGATTCCACAAAATACATTTGACGCCTCCTTTTCACGGATGGCCGATCACAACTACAACGTAATGACATCTTCACGAAATCTGTCAAAAGGAGGATTTTAAAACACCGGAAATCTTCTGGATTTCTGATGAAATAAATTTAACGCAGTTACGTTCAGAGTTTAAGCGATATATTGTTATTTCTAATATGGTAATTGATAAAAAAATTGTACATTACCTCGATTGGACGGAGATTAAGTTTGAATATAATGTAGCAGGCGATATTACTTTTGTCGACAAGGATAATCCGTGACTTGTCTCACCTATTATATTTTCTCTATCTGCGTTGTGCCATGATCATCATTGAAAATATTCTATGATAATATTTTTTACAATATTTAGATGAGGATTTTCAATTCTAAACGCAAGAGCGTACTTAGGGAAAGATCTATAAGAAACAGTTTCTCATGAATACATTTTAAAAATTCTTTTAGCTGACTTCTACATAGATAAAAAATTACTACACATATATATTTCACTTCGACGATTATCTTAATAAACAATTAATGGGAAGTTCTGAGAATCAGTTTTTAATACTACATGTTAAATTAATGGTTATTTTTCTCTTCCTGCTTAAGGGCTCTTTCGCAGTTTGGACAACGCCAGTTTGGACAACGCCAGTTTGCACTTGAATCTTCCAAAATAATTGTTGAAATGCATTTCCTGTGAAAAAACTCCTTGCAGCTACAACATTTCACACAACGAGAAGGAGACTTCGAGTCTGACTCTTCCCTCGGCATTCTACACTCGCACATTACCGAGACCTCTTGAACAAAAAGTGGCCTCCTGTCTCGACACTCGGGTACTTTAGAGAGGGGAAAGGGGTCGAATGATCCACTCTCCAGGCTCTTTAAAAGATGTTGTCTTATCAGCTTCCTGTCAAATGTCAGATTAGAAGGATTGAGGCCATGTAGTAGCGAAACCAGAAAAGCAATAGCATAAACTCCACAGTCATCGGAATTGTTCTGGTGTTGCACATTTGGTACAATGACCTTAAAACTGGTTCCTTCCTCGTATATAATTGATGCAATCTGTTTCTGCACGAGGGCTGCAATTCTTCCCGAAAACAGGCTGTCGTACAGATAAACTACAGAAGGAGTGTAGCATCCTACAGTAGATACCAACACCCAATGATGGCTGCCAGTATTCAGGATTTGTGAAAATTGGCCTTTTTGAACAGAAAAATTAAAAATAGGCCCCAAAGTTGTATTTTCCAATCCTCTTGCGTGAGGGAACTGTTCCCTCAGAACAGACTGAGCTGCACCTACAATATGGTCGGTGAGCCAGTCTCCAGTTGAAATGGTGCTAATGTCCTGTTCCGAGAGATGGAATTTACCGGCCTTTGAGGCGCTTCTGTGAGAGGTCTTTACAAATTCTACTTCATCATCTTTTTTATTTTGCTGGGCCAGGTTTGTGTTCGTTGTCGCGTTTACTGTAAGGATGATGCATGTGTTTGCAGTGCTGGTTGTGCTCGAGGTTGTGTTAATGGAGGAGATGGTGTTTGCGTTTGCGGTGCTGGTGATGCATGTGGTCGTGTTTGGTGTGTAAGGGGTGCTTGCCTTTACAGTTTGATTGGCGTTTGAATTTGAACCATTAGAGTTATTCACGTTCACACTGCGGTTTATGTTTACTTGAGCCTCGGCGCTTGAGTTGGCATTCTTGATGTGTGCGAGTTTCGGCTGTTTGGCAGGCTGGCGTTCTATATCGTTTAAGCTGACGTTATACCCCCTTTTCATGTTGTTTGCTCTTTCCCCTACACGTCCAGTGAAAGGATTTTTCTTCTGAGATACTGGCAGCCTTTTATAGTCTACTTTCTTTTTTTTCATCCTGCGCGAATTCTTTTTCATAGTAGACTTCAGGAGAGACCTGACCTTTCAGACAACTTTCTCTCAAACAATGAACTCACTTCTTGACAAGTTAATTTACGTGCCATCATAGAATTGGAAATTTTGTTCAGAAAGCGAAATTATCGATTGGAATACGGCCGAACGCTGAATACGAATTGAGTGAGCAAACAGATACTTTGATATCTCGCACGATAACAAATTTCCCGCCTTTGCTAGTTTGGACCATTCAATTGTCTGGGAGTTAATCGACCGTATCATTTATCTTTCCTCTCCATTTCCGGTGTTTTAAAATCCTCCTTTTGACAGATTTCGTGGAGGTGTTACTATGTTGTAGTTGTAATCGGCCATCCGTGAAAAGGAGGCATCGCAAAAATTTTGTGGAGTCTGTAATAAAGGTAAGCAACGAAAAAAAAAAGCAATATCTTACGCCTAATACGAAGTCATGAGCGAAAACGAAGCACGTGTTCGTTTCTACTCTGTTTTGCGGGTCTAATATGCTAAATAGGGCCTTCATCACGAAGACAACATCGGGCGAGCTCGGATTTCGTAATCGGAAATCTACCCGAGATGACCTCCTTCTGACGGATGTCGGAGTGTGCTTGGCTCCGACTGAACGGCAACCGCTGCCTGCGAAGAAACAACTGCTCGCCGAAGACAACTCTCATCACTCTGATCAGTCTGCGTCTGTAAACAGTGAAGCGCAAGAAACCGTCGAGATGTCCGCCTGTGAGCCAAGTACAAGCTTCGAAGATGACACATGTAAAACCCCAGATTTAGAAAGACAAATCGCCGAGCAAAGCACAAAGATCGGCGAACTAAAAGAGAAATTAAAGCAGGCAGAAAGTGAAATAAACAACCTTCGTCGCGAAAACATAGAATTGAATGAGAAATTGGCAGAGTGCGAACGCCAACAGAAGGAAATGTCTTCGCGTTTATTTTGTGTGGATCGTTTCACGACGGACGGAGACATTTCTTTACACTGGTCTGTCCAGTTATGCGACTTTTATGGCCATCTTCGAGTATTTAAATCCTGGAGACAACTGTGCAAACATTCGCCCCAGAGGCAGTGTGATAGATGTCCCTGAAGACTTTTATAAATCAGACTCTGAAGATGAGGGAAATGTTCCGGCTGCAAAGAAAGGACGTCACCGAAAGCTCAAGCCACTAGATGAATTTTTCATTGTGCTTTGTCGCCTGAGAAGAGGGTTCTCAGAAAAACACTTGGCTCATCTTTATGGTGTGGCTCAGTCTACTGTGAGTCGAATTTTTGTACCATGGATAAATTACATGTACTTGAAATTTGGCCAGATATGCATTTGGCCATCAAAGGAGGTTGTGCAGGCAACCATGCCAACTGATTTCAAAGAGAAATTCCCAACTACGAGAGTCATCATAGACTGTACGGAGGTGCGCTGTGAGATGCCCAGCAGTTTGCTGCTCAATTCTGAGTTATTCAGCTCCTATAAAAATCATGTAACACTCAAAGGACTAGTGGGCATTTCCCCGAGTGGTGCAATTACCTTCATTAGCCAGCTTTACACTGGAAGTATCTCAGATCGGGAAATTGTTATTTGAAGTGGCTTCTTGTCACAGAAATTTGAGAATGGTGACACTGTTATGGCCAACAAAGGATTTCAAATTGCAGACATTTTGCCATTTGGAGTGAAACTGAATATTCCGCCTTTCCTCGGGGCAAACACTCAAATGTCTGCCGAAGATATTGTTCAAACACAACAAATTGCTGGGTTAAGAATCCATGTGGAGAGAGCAATTAACAAGATAAAGAACTTCCTTATCTGGAAGGGAGAAATACCATTATGTTTATTCTCTGTTGTTAACCAGATGTGGAGTGTGTGTGCCTTTTTGTGCAATACA